GTCGGAACGACAATACACCACCTGATGATGATGGCCGCAGACTTTGATGGATCCTCGGAAACGGAAACATTTGCAATGCGTCACTTACATTTCGCTTGAATCGTCTGTTATTGTTGACGATGCTTTTGAGGAAAGACTTTACTGCCATTTGCAACATGTATGCTGACATCTCTTCTCGTGGAGAATCTTTGGGCCGCAACAGCAGAAGCTGTCCGTGATGCTACTGATGCTGATGAAGACCGAATGCGGTTGTTTCGGATAATGCCTCTCATATGCGGAAGCGTTTTCGACATCGAATCATGGACGAAAACTTCAGTTTGGGAGTATAAGTCGTCATTTCCGCGGCGGGACGGAAACTTTTCGCGAGTTGCTTTCGACTGTTTTGTCAAAAGTTTGTTCACTTTGGTTTTTGAAGGTGTGAAAAACATCACACGCTTTCCGAGATTTCCTGGCTGAGATTTGATCGTTTTGCGATTGCCGATTTCAATCAGTAACTGCTGGTGGTCAGACGTTTCGAGGCTTTTTGGTCTCGGTGCTGGTTTCGACTCGTTTTCTGCAATTGAGGCGACAATTTTCCCGGGTTATTTTCAAGTACAGTAAGAGTACTTCCCGAGAGAATTTCGAGAAATTGTCGTCACCCGTCTGACACAATCGATTTCACTCATTTACGCAATTTAATGCGTGATTATGGAAACTGTAGATAGGCAATCGCCTATTTATACAAACCTTTCTTTTAAATTCGAGGATCGAATTGTAAAATAAATCTTGATTCGTGAAGTCTGATATCCTATGAATCACAGAATTTTCTCTTTTCTTTTTTTTTTTTCTCCAAGAAGAGACATGAGACATCATATATTATTCGAAGAATTTCTGTTACCGTGAGAAAAAATCGGGAAAATTTTCCGTAATTCAGCAGTTATAATGTTCCAATTTTCGCTGTTATTGTTCTTTAAAAGCTCTATACTAAAACTGCTCGAAGCCTCAAATTAATTCTCACTGATGAGTGATGACTAAACTTCATCTGAATTCTCAAATTTCTTATAGTACCAAACAATGCACTGAAGAAAATAAATTTGCATTAAAACTTGTACTCAAGAACTTTCGAAGCCACCTATAAAATTTAAGAGATTTATGCAGGTTAGGCTTTATTCGTAATTCCTAATTTCAGGAAAGCACTTGCAGTTTTCATTTCTGACCGATAGATTTCTGTTTAGGAAGTCATGGGAAAATAAGCACTTCTTTTTTTGCAGGAAATTCTCAAAATCGACAAACAAATCCATAAATTATTTTTCTTATCCTCATTTTTTTTATTTGCCGGAATGGGAGACTTTGAAAAATAATAATCCTCTGAAAAAAGGGATATTTGTTCCGTTTCAATACTGTACGACGATTCGCAATACCGATGAGACGTCTGAGAAACCCGTTGAACGCGATTTATTTGAAAAGCATACCTTTTGAGATGTTCTCTAGATCGTCGGGATCCGGGTTCATCACGCGTCCAGATTTCTCTCGTTCGTCGTCACCATCATTATCGTCAGCAACCGAAGTTGAGGAAACGTCGTCAGCGAGTGAAAAATAATGATTCGCCTTTTGATTCCCGGGTTGCACAACAATGTCTTCAACGGGTTTCCCGCTTGCGAACTGGACCGGAGTTTCGTTTTGCTGCAG